GCGGAGGTGGAGTTCAGGCGGTGAACGGCGCTGCCGCTGAAGCCCTCGCGGAGGTTGTAGTGCGAGCAGCGCGGCGGCAGCCGGCCCTTGGGGCTGCGCTCGAGGTCGGAGCCGAAGGACGACTGGCTCGCGGGCTCGAAAAGCTTGGAGATTCGTCGGGGTTTGTCCGGGGGATTGGCCTTGTTCGGGAGCTCGGGACCGCGGGGCTCGTCCCGATCCGTCGAATTCAGGCCTGAAGGGTCAATGTAAGAGCTGGCGTCGGACCGCACAAAGTTCCCTCGGGGGTTGACCTTCGCGTCTTGGTCGATGCCTGCGTGGCGCGAAGTGGAATAATAGTTAGACTGTTCAAACTGGATAGAATTCATTTGTTAAAATCTTCATGCACTATACATATGTATAGGTATAAATATGTAATAATAATTAATAAAGCTGCAATACTTTTGTTGATTCTTTTTCTTGAGGCCTGTCGGTTTGTTGAATGATGTCGTTGGGACCGCAAAGCCTACCCAATATATTCAAGGTTACTGTTTTGGGGTTATGTAGTTGTGTATAAAAGGTAAGGGAGCGTAATAATGTAGCCCTTTTTAAAAAAAAAACTGCTATTTACTAGTACAACAAATACATTGGTGTGTAAAGCAGGATAGCAACGAAAGAAATGAATAAAGAAAGTCAAATGATGGACCAATAAAGCATAAACAAAGCGAAATGAAAACTAAGAATAAAATGAATTCCTATAAGCATAGCAATTGACACCAAAAAGCTATAGAATGCAGTGTACTGTAAAAATTGCACCTATGCGCACAAAATTAATAACAGTTTCAATGCCTGTCTGTGTGCTTTGCTTTGAGAAAGATTACATCGAACAACGCCGCTTGCGCTTTTTTACCACTTCCGACTCCGCCGACGAAGGCGGCAGCTTCCACGCGGTTGACAGTTTAGTTAAATTTATCCAAGGGAACTCCAGGCCTCCCTGCTCGAACTTTCGATCCGATTCGTTGTCGGCGTTCTCGAAGTATCCCCCAAGCTGCCGGGGCCGCATCCCACTCGGCGACCGCAGCGCCCTCTGCCGCCCCGGCGGGTCCTCGGGCGGGGGGCGTCCGTGGAGGTCCCCCTCGGCCGGCGCCGGGGCGACCTTGTCCAGGTCGAGGTACATCCCCTCCGAGGTCCACTGCGCCCAGGG